CAGTTCGTAGAGAAGATGGATTTGCTGTATTTTAAAACAAGTAACTCGGGCCCAGTTCGTAGAGAAGATGGATTTGCTGTATTTTAAAACAAGTAACTCGGGCCCAGTTCGTAGAGAAGATGGATTTACTGTATTTTAAAACAAGTAACTCGGGCCCAGTTCGTAGAGAAGATGGATTTGCTGTAGTTGTCAGTTTACGGACAAATAAAGTCGAAAAGCATTAATCAGAATATGTTTTAGGCTGTCCCAAAATTTCGGATTCTTTTTCTGGAGTTTGAAATTGGCGGGAATTTTAAAACTCTCGTTGTGGTACTGGTACCAAACCAATATTTTCAGCGCAGAGTTTTAGCGCGCGCCAAGAGCACACACGTATTTTTGCATTGAAGCCGCGCGTTATTTGCACGTGCACTTCTACAGATTAAAATTTGGAGAGGGCCCTTACTGCTTACATTACTAAGTTGTTATGTAGTAATATTGTGAATTTGTCCGAAACTGGAAACAAATCTTGTAAAATTTTACGAATAGAAGTTATAGTATTACTTTGATTGACGATGTCAATCCTTCGCATCTCGCCGATCTGTGGTTGCGAGAAGCATTATTTGATGCGCGCGCGACCCAGTAGTGCATCGCACTACAAAGTATTACTTGACTGTAAAAATTTACTGAGTTTCACTTCCATATTTCAGGATCCGACCGCTGATATTAAAATTGAAGAGTTAGATTTCATTGGAACATGGAATTACTGTAATGGAAAATAAAACAGGTCTTGCTGAGGATGAAGAAATGTTATGTGGGGAGAAAATGGGCTACTGGAAGTAGACCTTCTTAAACAAAGACGACTTTCACAAAATGTTTAAAAGATCACGGTCGCGGCATCGAACCCTGGACGCTTCCCCTGCCACTGTCAGACACTCGAGATTAGTACTAGTAGTGTGCGCTACTCGAGCTGTTGATATATGAGTTCTTCGGTGTTATTTAAATATAATTGTAATATGTAATGACTGACAGTGCGAGATATCTTTTTTGTTTCTATTTGATGTGTTTAGTGTTTGTGTTGCATTCTAATATAAACCGCGTATTAGTTTCTTGTCAATTTTAAATTTGATAAGTTTATCTTTAAACTGTATTTATTAGCAGTAATAGTTACATTTTGGTATTATATCTATATTTATTATTGTAATACTGTTGTATAATGCTGTTTCTTCCTCATTGTAGCTTACATATAGGATAGCATACTTTGCTATGATCTTTAATCACAGTTGACAATACTTGATTAGAGTTAATGATTGTACGCGTTTGAAATCTTGATTTGATATCATTATAACCTTTACTAATGTTCAGATGAATGAATTTGATGTTTTATTTTTCCTCGGCACTATTGAAAATCCTTTACGGGATAGAATCGGCACTGTCAAATATCTTTAAAAGGTTCGTAAACGGAATTACAGTCGATCTCCTGACAAATTTATGCCGAAAATTTGTTTTAACACGCGCAGCAATATGAAGCCCGCGGCGTTCGCCGGGGTGCAAAACTGACTCGACTCCTAAAGCATAAACAGCTGAAATATCGTTTTACAAGCCTGTCACGTGCGCGCGTCTGACCAAAATAGTTATTTGATCATAACTCGTCAAAAAATGATTTTTATGCTAAGTATTTACTGGGCCGCGCTCAGCCTGTCATTCCGCCAAACCTTTATTAATGAACATAATAGCCTGGGGTCCTCAGCTAAGCTAAGTATTAGGTCTAATTCAAAATCAGCATATAAAGTGTATAGTATTGGTTTAACTTACTTTCACAATCCCACAGATTATTCATATACCATGAAAACGTATAAGCATAATTACTTATCGTATAAGCATATTAACCGGGCCACGCTCAGCCTGTCATTCCGCCGAATCTCTTGTAGCGCGATACACTACTGGGCCGCGCCGCGCATCTTCTCGTATGCAGATCGGCGAGATGCGAAGGATTGACATTGTGAATCAACCGAATCTTTAGCTATTTTATGATTATGAACATAAATATAATAGCCAGAGGTCTTCAGGTAACATGGGGGTGATACAAATCAGCGTCCGAAAATACATCGATTGAAGTTGGTTTGAACTGTTGGGGCCCTTTTAGAACAATCTCGAAGATCGACTGAAAAGTGATTTAGCACGCATGTTTCAAAATATGTTTAATGGCCCTAATTTAAATTAATCGATATTTTTTTTACTAAATATAAATGAAACCATTAATTGACAATGTCAATTCATTGCAGCTCGGCGAGGCCCAGTTGCGCATTTCTGATCTTGCCGATCTAGCGAGAAGCTTAATTGAGTGCAAGGCGCGGTCCAGTAACGCATCGCGCTACAAATGAAACAAATAATAACAATTTTGCATTGATTTTCGAGCAATGCACATTGCACAACCTGGCTGCGCCGTACATCAAATAACAAACAACAAATAAATATGATGTTTCTCGCATTTGAGAAAATAATTTTAAATTGTCGAAATCAAATTAAATTTTAAATCAATTAATATTAAATATGAGGCAAAAAATGTCAAAAGTTACTATTTTTTACTTGTTTAATTTTGTATCTTTAATTCTTCTAATGTGTTGTGTTTCATTGTACAGATTCATGCACAATCGTGCAACTTCTCGTCATTGAGATGATGGGTTTGGTAACGTTTGACAATGGTCCCACGGATTAAAATAAATCTAAAATCGAGCGCAGCTTTCCAATTTTATCAAGTTCTTCCTGATTATTTATACTTGTTGACCTTTTGTTAATACGAAATGATGGAACACCCACCAATGTGTTTAAAAGTCGCCATATGCAGTCGATTGATTAAGAGTTAATCATTTGAAATGTCCAGTTTGTACAGTGATGAACCCTACATCCCAACTTGATGTCGTGCTGTCGCCTCAGACAATACCCAACATAACAGCACGTCCCAATGCAGAGCTTTTAGGCAGAAAAAAAACTGTCCAGGTAGCAAACTCAGTTTTTTGTCAGCAGTTCCTGAGCAAACTAGCTCTTTGTTTTACTATCTTCGTTTTTCACTTACTTTTGTTAGGGTGCCGCCCAGTTAATATAATTCCGTGTTGAATTTGGAAATCGTTTACATTTCTATGTAACCATACGTTTATGCAACCTGACACGGATCTGTGCAAAATACAGGGTGGGCCAAAAGTCAGTACCCATAAGTTAGGTCTTATACCTCCGCCGTGTTTTATATTTGGGTGTTGTTGCTTTGCAGATGGCATACTGTACCTATATACTACTTGTTCAAGTATTCCGTCGCCATAATTTGAAAATCCGAATAATTTAGACCACGCCCATTCAATATTAAAATACCTATATTGTTCTCTCTGAACATGCTGGACGCCTAATTTTTTCAGAGACGGAAGATTATTAAATGTTGCATCTGATCTGGAAAAAAAATGAAACAAAACGGATTAGAAATGACGAAGTTATCAAACATTTTGTGTATCTCGGTAAAAAATTACTGGATGATTATGTGACACTGTGTCACGACACCTTAATTGGGCACCTTCAAAGTTTCCCATAATGTTTAACGGGGTGGTTAACAGGGTCACCCAATCACGTGATTAGGTATTAAACCTATCACCTGATCACACGTAATAAATACATTTTTTATTCTTCTTATCTCGGTCATCTGAGAAGCTGCAGCTCTAGCTTCTATATACAAAAAAAACCCTCGTTCGCTTACCTCTGTCCTTGACTCTTTTGTCCCTTCGGCATTTTGAGTCATGGATTGGGATAAATCGATTGCTTAGGACCACGTCCGATACATCCAGAGCAAGCACGTGGTATACTCAACATACCAACTAGAGTCCATCTTCATAACCAAAAAGTTTATGAAGCTGGCTAAAATATATATAGAAGCTTTGTCTGTGAAGACTTTGATTGTGTTTTAGTGTCACAGTTTGTAAAACTAACCATTATTAAGTAGAAAATTGGCAGGCCAGTATTTTGATTAAGGTGGAATCTCTTGTTAAAATAAAATAAATGCATATACTGCATATATGAAGTGGTTCCACTCAATGATCTCATTAAACTATATAAAAAATAAGTATAAAGAATAAGGAAAAGGAACGGGAATGAAGCCAATACCAGAAGTGAAACCCCACCAAAGAATAATTGATCCTTAGGTAGACCTGTTGAAATAAAGTAACTGAACTTTAACTGTAAGTATAAGAAAAGACGAAAGGAATCAAGGAAATAATGTAATGAGAACATCATCAGCAGATGACTTGGCACACCGGTTTCGGGGGTTTAACACCTGTACCGGTTTAATGTGCCAAGACCCCCTAGCAATCGCTCGTCAGTAATCACCTGTCCACGTTAAATGTGATGTCAAGGATGTCGCTGACATCAAGTATACTGTATTTGTACAGAATACTAGGTCGGTCTTTCAGCAGCTTTCTGAATTTACTCTGCAGGAGTCTGTCATTATAACATCTTGAAAGAAGTGTCCTATAAAGGGTGTTGGTAGAACACAGAAAAGAATCAAGGTCAGAGATAATGGAAGAGTAACGAAGGATCTGACCGTAAAAAACATGAGCATGTTGCTTGTGCACGATGGAGGATGCTTGGTCATGTCCTTTGCAGTAATAACAACTTACCTGCACAGCTTGCATCACACTTTGCAGTAGAGAGTCAAGAGTACTAAAATGGGTAGAGAAGGCAGACACCAGTCGAACTTGCCCAGGACTATAAAATTTAATTTAATTTATAAGAACATTCCATTTGTAAATACAGACGATTTGTACAGCTGTATAAGAATATCAGTCTCTGATAGAGCAGGATGGAAGATCAAGAAATTGTATTAGTTTATGTATCTGTATTTCTTACTTTCAGATCAGGTTACTTATCATATCTTTCAGATGTTCAATTATGTTCTATATTTGATTTGAATAAAGTAATATAATGTAGTTTGAGGAGTCCTCATTCTCCTTACGTCTGACAATGGCGTTTCTCTTAATGCTAATATATAACAATCTTAGCTGTTATGTTTGGAAGCTCAAATACATTTGGAAGCTCCACATTTGGAGGTTTTGGTGCTAACACAAACAACAATGCCACCTCTGGGGGACTCTTTGGAAACAAAGCAACCAACGCTTTTGGAAGCCCAGCAGCAAGCACCTTTGGCTCCACCACCGGCACTGGCTTTGGAAACACAACAAGTGGAGGTCTATTTGGAGCCAAGCCAGCCAACACAGGCACCACTCTATTTGGAGCCAGTAATACTGGCACAAGTTCTTTTGGCAACACTACATTTGGTGGAGCAACAAAGTAATTTAATTTTATATATATTGAATTTCATCCTGCCCTGTTATCTTCTTTCAATGCAATGATGACCTGAATAAAATTGAGAATTTTAGGTTACTTTTTGTCACAATATCTTACATTTTGAAATTTCAGCCCTACTACTAACACTGCATTTGGAGGATCCTCAATATTCGGTAACAATAATGCCAGTACAGCCAGTACTGGTGGACTCTTTGGGAGCACAGGAAACACATTTGGAAGTAATACCACAAGTGCTTTTGGGTCAACCCCTGCTAATACTGGCTCTTCATTATTTGGTGGCACTGCATCCACATTCGGAGCATCCACTCAGCAGAATGGATCAAATATAAAATACAACCCAATGATTTCTCAAGACACTCAACAAATCAAAGGTCAACATCAGGTGAGAATACGGTTTTAAAACTGTTCTTAAGCATTCCACTATTTATATTTGTACTGCGTAGTCCCTTTTTCAAGTTAAAGCATTGCCCTTATATCAAAAATTTGAAGTGTCACTGGTTTCTTAATTTTCTTAATTCCCAGACTGTTCAAGTAAAACTACAAGTCATAACGGGCATGAAAGAGTACGAGACAAAAAGTGTAGAAGAGATACGCTGCGAAGACTACATTGCTGGCAGAAAAACTGGCCCAGCTGCAGGAACTACAGCTGCTCCAACTGGGGGCATGTTTGGTGCAACTCCAGCAGCTGCCACTACCACCAACACCTTCGGGGGATTTGGTTCCAACACCAATACTAACACTTCTGGAGGACTGTTTGGTGCCACAAATAACACTGCCACAACCGGTGGGCTGTTCGGAAATACTAATACAGCTGCCAAGGTAAATCGTGAATTGTACATATCTAGCTTAAAATTTACTCTAACATGGAAAGCATTGTTAGTTATAAACTCCTGAGACCTTAATCATGGTTGTATACTACTTGTTTGTTAATATGCTTACTTAATATGCACTTGAATTTATTGTACTTGATTTTCTTAAAATCAAATTATTTTTAGCCAGGAGGATTGTTTGGAAGCACAAATACAGGTACAACCAGCTTATTTGGTGGCACAACCAACACCAACACTGGAGGCACATTCGGTGCCACAAACACTTTCGGTGCCACAAACACTGCCAGTACATTTGGTAGCACTGGAACTAGCCTATTTGGGAACACCAATAATGCTAAACCTGGTGGCCTTTTTGGTAAGTTTTTCAACTAATTCTGACTAATTATAAAACTGTGAGTGAAATCTGTGCAATATATCACTTACGGAAATTTAACTTATGCCCGGTCACGGTTTAATCATGTAAACTTGTCAGGTAACACTGCAACTAGTACTGCTGCTACTGGGGGATTGTTTGGTGGCACTGCTACTAACACCTTTGGAAACAACACCAATACTGGTAACACTACTGTTCATCTTTTTATCTGTTACATCTACTGCTTATTTCTATCGAAAAAACTTCTCCAATGATTATTTCATCGTGATTTAAGAAAATGTTGTTGAGGATTTTAAACCATTTATCTTGATAAAGTGGGATCCATCTCAATTATCTATTTCTCGATATCTTTCATTTTGGGACCGAAAAACATACGACGTTATTTCAGGAACAAGTCTGTTTGGTAACACGAACACAAATACTCCAGCTGCAGGAGGCCTGTTCGGTAATACTGCCGCAAACAACACTTCAGGAAGCTTGTTCGGAAACACAGCCAACAAACCAACTTTCAGCGCTTTTGGGAACACCAATACTGCCGCTGGTACCACAGGGTTTGGTTCTACTGGTGAGTTGATAATTAATGATTTAAATTTATTGTTGAGAAAATTCAGCATTCAATTAAATGTGTTGAATATGAGATTGCGATACTGAATCATACCTCTGCCTTGTGCCTACATTTACTGGTTTATAGTCGATAAAAGTCATTAGCTTGAGGAACAAATCTCCCCAGGAACGGGTCTGTTCGGTAACACCAACGGTAAACCAGCATTCAGCCTGGGTGGAAACACAGGAACCACGTCACTCTTTGGGAACAACAACACAGCTACCAATACTTTCGGTGCAGCCAACACAGGTATTTACATCTGGTATACTGGTACCACATTGGTTCTACACTGGTATCTACATCTGACTGAACCTTGTAATTATAAAATAAATTCAGTTTTTGTAAGACTAATAAGTCAGACCGGTCGCCAGCTACGTTTTACTTTTACTAAGGAATACTTTAGTCATGAACCATTGTTAAACTATGATAATCGACAGGAGGGAGTATGTTTGGGAACACCGCCGCCAAACCAGGAGGCTTGTTCGGAACATCAACGTTCGGTGCCGCTAACAACACTGGAACATCACTGTTCGGCAATAACAACGCTAACAACTCTTTATTAGGGGGTAACAATCAGCAGCCTGTTTTAGGTGAGTTAAAGAAGTAGCTAGAGGATACACTGGCACGGTTATGATCCAGAGTTATTAATAACCGCGACCGGTCATAAGTTAAATTTGTGCTGAATGCTGGTTTATTGTTGTTGGTAAAGAAGTAGCTCAATACGGGGCTTTTTTATTGTGTACATTGCACGTGCAATAACCTGTTAAGAAAACATTAAATTTCGTTTCCTCAACTCGCAGCTGTTTTTTAATTACCTGTGCCATTCCTTACTACCATTTTATTTAATAAAATCTGAATTTGAACTGATATGATTATCTGACCGTATTCAGGTGCTTCACTAGACAGTACACATATCCACCAAGTTGTAGCAGCCCTCTCCTCCACCCCCTTTGGAGACTCACCCCTCTTCAGAACCGCTCTCAACGAACACAAGAAACTGAAACCCTCTACCCCTCCTCCTGCCAGTCTGGGAAATAACAAGAGCAGAATTAATACCAAACTTTCTGCTGTAAGTGTTTGAGAATGTTTAAATAGTATGTAACTCTGCTCTTTTTTACTGGAACAGGCGATCAATTTACTAAACTAAATGACAATATGCAATTTCTTTATTCATAATGTAGTGAGCCCTAACAAGATCTATTTTTGTACCAGGTACGACCAAAGCCCCTGAACGCAGGATATAACCAGCTATTTGAGGGTCTAGAAGACGACATATCACCGTCCCCTGAAGCGTTCCTTCCACGTAGCAGTCTTAAGAAACTAGTTCTACAGTCTAACAGATACAGTGAGCCAGAGACACCTGATCCTGTGGAAACAGTCAGTAAAGCTGAGCAGTACCATGTAGACGACAACCAACAACCAGGTATGTTTGTTTAACGTCATATTAATATAATTACGTTATAATATCGAGACTATTTATAGTATTTTTGTGGTCTTATTGGACTTTTGTAATTTTTTTGAACTTAATAATAGGCGTTAAGTAATGTTGATTTTGCATAATATATTTGTGGTCTCATTGAAAGTTTGGGGATTTTCTGGGAATCGTGTGTCTGGTTATTAATAACTCTGGATCATAACCGTGCCAGTGTATCCTCTACCCGAGGGCAATTTGAGGTTGGAATGTTACAAAGCTGTCGCTGAAGCCTAAAAGAAATACCGAGCGAGTATAATCGTCATTCGTCAACATTGACTTTGTTGATTAGACAGAATTGATCAAGGGTGCCCAGCTCAGTGGAATGTTTTTCACACGTTTCATCCTCCTCTCTTTGCGGTTATTGGCGTTATTAAAAAGAGTTAAACTACTATACCTTTGTAAAAACTTATTTTTTGATAAAATTGCAAAATGCGATCCAATGAAATCAATGACTAGATGGCGGGGTAAAACAGAAATTTAAACATTACAACAATTTACTGCCTGGAAACACGTCATTATAATACCGAGCAATTGTCTCCTAATAGTACAGCGTATATTTTATCAATAGTCTAAATATAGATGTCTATGTTTCTAACCTTCTAAAGCAAGGGTTCTTTGTGAAAAATGTAAATTTCCCTAACATAAAATAATCATTCAATCAATTATGTACATGCAACTTATCAATATTTCCCTTCGTCTGTTCATTCATTAAACTGCAACTGTCCATTTAGCTGAGCATCAATCGGAATATTACGATTTTTGCGATCCTCAGCGCCGTATGGTCAACACTAAGCAGTTTTCCATGATGATTTCAATTGTCTCTTATGGTCACGTGTTCTCCTCTGTTCATTCCAAAGTACAACAAGCTAAACGTGATCCAGCATTGCCAGTCTTACGGCTCCCTGAAAGTTTTAGATTGTAGAAGAGCACAGTAAAATAGACATCACAAAAAGAGTTGAAAACAATTGCAAGAAATTGTTCTGGGTTGGGTGTAAAAAATATAAAAATAACTTAAGTTACCGTTGTCTCCACCAAGACCCAAGTCGTCTGTACCCGCGTGAAGGACTACTGCTCGTCCTCTTAAAGAATTTTCTCCTTCCAGAGCAAACCTATCTTCTTCCACGTAAAATTTGTCTCCATCTTCAATTAAGGATCATATTAGAAAACAATAAAATTTGAATCCTGTGCCGTATTGTATGAGATGAAAGATTCAGAAAACAGAGTCATCAAGCCCAGTAATAAATCTCTAAAATTTATAGATTTTAAAATCGATTCACTGGAAGTTTCACTGGAAGTTTCACTGAAAGTTTCACTGAAAGTTTCACTTACTCGTTCCGGTTCCCTGACCCACTATGAAGTTGAGAGTCGTCAAAACAAATCCTGAAAAAAAGGAATCTGAAGACGTTCATCATCTCCATTTGACACCTATTCTCAAGGTCTTAGGAGTTGTTATGTTTTCTATCAGCACAAAAGATTACAAATCATCTCAACTTGTTTAATTATCTTACCGTCCTCTGCATCCACATTTCCAAAATCTCCAACATGATGAGAAGATGCTGGACCACCCGCTGCTCCGTGATCTACTCCGTCAGGGTTGAAGTGGCCTCCAGTCGTCAGGCAATTATCTGTAGTATGTTGGGTCATTTCCAGATGTTTTCTAATTCTCAAAGTGAGAATTTGCATTTTATATCAACTAGGGGATTATGCTAGGTTTACAATGTTCATGCAATGATTATTGATTATAATTTTGGTTTAACTAATTTAGCTTACTTTCTGTAACAGGAGCAGCGTGGACATGAAAGCCATGTTTTCCGTCAGATACTTTCGGGTACGAAACGGCAACTTTAACCTCTTGGCCTTTCCCAGGAGTGCTATAAAATGCTACTTTACCTGGAATTGACAAAAATTAAACCAGTCATGATGGTGTTCCTTTAATTTAAGTTGAAATGTACTTGAAAAAGACGATATGTTTCTTTACACTGAACTTTCAACAAGATTTAGCTAAAGCTCTAGACCTGGTTGTTAACCTGGTCATGGGAAATTAAAATCAGACATCGAATTTCTTAACTCTAAATAGAAAGCTTACCAATCTTCTTTCCATGGTTATGTAATCGGAGATGACATGATGCTATCTGATCGTACTTATGGCTCGTTGACGCCAATTGGAGAACGGCAGCAAATATCAGCAACTGTAGCATCTTTCTGCAACTTCAATAAAAAGTTTAGGCGAAATCACAATTTAACAAAAAGAAAATGCCACATTGCATGGGCAGATAATAATCTTTTTGCGTGACTACAGCCAGGCAATCATGTTATTATTATTTTGCAACAACTTCAAAATCAAGGCAAATACTTCAAAACCAAGGCAAATACTTCAAAATCAAGGAAAAAACTTCAAAACAAGGCGATGTGGAAATGAAAAGAGTAGATTCCATAAACTCCTTCCTGGCTCCCGACCAACTAAAGAATATAATCTAACCGTTTAATCTGGGCTCCTGTTTCTAGATATATATATATTCTAGACTGTAAATGCAAGTCCCGAATACTAAATATATATTCTAGACATTTAATCTAATCGGAATATTTGAATGTCGGGCTGGAAAGATAACGCTGTCTTTGAAAAATTTCAAATTGATAAATTACAACGAGATCTAAAGTTATGGTCGACTAAAAATGATCTCTCGATTATCAACATGAATGAGAGAGATACGAGGTAAAGTGACTTCACGTCACAGCATACTGAGATAATGTCCTGAATAGACAACTTTTCGTCCATTATATAATTAAGGTACGAGTTTGTACAGCGGTAATTACATAATTGAATAATACTATGCCTGCGACTGCGCAAATCAATAAAACCCTGCACAGTATGTATCAATATGAAGTCCAATCTAGTAATGTTCAGATTAAAATGGTTATAAAATACTCTTGGTAAATTTTACCAACAAGCGAGGAAAATAAACCGGTGTGTTTCAAGTATTGTAACCGTAAGCCTCAGAATAAGTTTAACATTCCTCGAATTCCTGGCGGCAATATCCGAGAATTTATTGATGGTATTTCATGGCATCTAATTGTATCTGATACTTTTTTCTGCGACTTTTTTCTGCGAAATTTTCTGTTCACAAAGTAACAATAGTCATGGTCACCACGAACACTTTTCACGCACTTCATTATTTATATCAAAATTTACAAAACTTATTTAACGCAAAGTTGAGCGCTATTAGTTAACGTAAATTGAGTAATCTCGCTATTTGTAGTCAGGATGATAACTACACTATTAATCAATACTTACTTACTTAGCAAACGACTTGGTCACCTTCTTCACAGTATCAGACAGATTGTTTTAATTAAATAACGTTTAGGACAAAAGGTAGATCACTGCAACAATTTCCGTGCTCAGTTCATTGAAACTACAGTCTGAATGATTTAATGATTGGGATAGTCAGGGGATATAGATAGTCATTTAAACGCTTCAATTACGAATTTTGTAATTATTTAATCGATAAAAAAGTTCATCTAAAATTCAATCACAAACCCGATAACGTCAGGAGTCAAAAATAATTTTAATTTTTCGTCATAAAACGAAAAAAAAATCTTAAACTGAAAATAAAAATCTCTTATTCAATACATAAAAAATTTCAAAAATTCTCCCCATGCAATATCACGATGTTTCATTCAATTCTATTATCCATAAAAAGTCCAAGTTTCAAAAGAAGTTTGATTCTAGTGTTTTTCCAGGTCACGAAATAGTTATGGTGACAGGTTTCCTCTGCTCATTCCAGAGTACAACACGCTAAACGGTTTCCTGCATTTCCAGTCTTACGGCTCCCTGTAATCAGTCACATTAGAATATCTCAAAATAGTATGTGCAAAATAAAATGTTAGTCCTTATACGACAAATTTCATCAAAAATATTTATAAAATTCTCTGAACTGTGTCCTAAGAATTGTGAACAATTGATCCATTACCTTCGTCTCCACCAAGACCCAAGTCATCTGTACCCACATGTAAAATTACTGTACGTCCTCTAAAAGACTTGTCTCCTTCCAGAACAAATCTATCTTCTTCTACGTAGTGATTTCTGGTATCTATAGTCAATTGAAGATATTTAGATCTTGGAATTGAAGTTTTTTCGAAACAATTTTCGAATTAGGTCAGACCAGAATGTAACGAGAAAAATGACGTAAAAACTCACTTACGATCAATTCCCTGACCCACTGTATAATCAATTTGGTGGAAAACAAAGCCTGAAAAAGAGTTTTGGTTTAGGTTTGTTATCTTATCAAATCTCTCACGGACACTATTTAGGAATTGGGAACGACTTGTAATCCAATGAATTATAAAGATTGCACAATGTTATCTCAACTTACCATCCCTTGCGATCGCATTCCCGAAGTCTCCAACATGATGAGAAGCTGCTGGACCACCCGCTGCCTCTTGGTGAGCTCCGTGCATTGCTACGTCCATTGCTACGTCCATTGCTCCGTGCTTTGCTCCGTTCATTGCTTCGTGCTTTGCTCCGTGGTGTGCTCCGTGCTCTGCTTGCGCTCCGTGCTTTGCTCCGTGGTGTGCTCCGTGCTCTACTCCGTGGTGTGCTCCGTGCTTTGCTCCGTGCTTTGCTCCGTGCTTTGCTCCGTGGTGTGCTCCGTGGTGTGCTCCGTGCTTTGCTTCGTGGTGTGCACCGTGCTCTACTCCGTGAGGGTTGAAGTGGCCTCCAGCCGTCGAACAATCATGGCCACCTTCTGCGACGGGTAGTGTATGGACATGAAAGCCATGTTCCCCGTTTAGCCTTGGGTGCTGAAAAGCTAATAATACTCTCTGCTTCTCTCCCGGTGTAGATGAGAAGGTAACTCTTCCTAAAGAGGGAAAACATTATAGGAGCCAGGCCATGAAGCTGTTGTTTAAAACAGGGCGGCATCTTCAAAGGATACAAACGACTATGTATGATGGTCCGAGATTATTATCATAAATTATGTTTAATCATAGGTTAAATTAAATAAATAAGTAATTAACATCGAAAAGGAAAAAGTACCAATCTCAGTCCCTTCGTTATGAATCTTCATCAGACACGATGCAGTCTGATCGTAAGTCTGCTCTGTTAGCACAAATAAGGCTGCACATATCACAAGGAGTAACATCTTGCTGCAACGAAACGAAAAATATAAACTCGATTTAAGTCCATTTTGTTGGTTGCAAGCTTAGGGTCGGATCCATGCGTTAGTGTGGTGGCCATTCATCAAGCTGCACTGTACTGTATCACGCGGTAACATGATTAGTTTAGTCGAATCGGGCTTTCAATTATTCAAAACTTTATAAATGACTTTCAAACGTGACTCGTGAGTAGAACGTGGGCGGAACCTGCAGTTACAGTTGTTTAACTTGCAAGAAACAAAGGAAAAAATTCATTAATTCGTGGACCAGATAAAGATTATAATTTAGCCGTTTTATCTGAATCCAGATCTAATTTTGTTCCGATTAAAATGGTCTTAAAATGGTCTTGGTAAATGTTATCAGCGAACGAGGAAAATTTAACTGAATCGAATTATAAAATTTTGTCCCGTACGAGAATCCCGACGGCATAACCATTTCATAATAATGTCATAACCATGTCAGACAGTGCAGGTGTCATAATCATGTAATAACTGAAAAGTGGTCACTAGCCGGTCACTAGCCAGTCACTAGCTAGTCACTAGCTAGTCACTAGCCAGTCACTAGCCAGTCACTAGCCAGTCACTAGCCAGTCACTAACCAGTCACTAGCCAGTCACTAGCCGGTCACTAGCCAGTCACTAGCCAGTCACTAGCCAGTCACTAGCCGGTCACTAGTCACTAGCCAGTCACTAGCCAGTCACTAGCCGGTCACTAGCCAGTCACTAGCCGGTCACTAGCCTGCTACTAACCAATGTGCACTGATGCTTAGTCGGGTGAGGCTAACTCTATCGAAATAGTCTTGGACCTTCATACATCTTCTGGGAGAACTCTTATAGAACAACATAGCTCCAGACTATATCACCAAATGCATCGACATCAAGAGTCAACCTGTACGTGTGCTACGAACTGAACAAGACTTTTTCCTCCTAAATGTTCCTCCTGTCTCAAATTATAGTAAAACTGAGAGAGGTTTCAGTTACTGTGGACCCTCAATATGGAATCAGCTTCCTTATCAATTGAGAACATTGACTGATATTGTCTTGTTTAAAAAGAGACTAAAGACTCAACTATTTGAAAAAGTGTTCATATAAGTACTGTATCATATAATATCTTTCTCATACAAACCATACTTCACAAAATGCTAGAAGTTCTTATGTACATGTTCATGAGTCGCTTTAGATGGCTTGAACTGAATCTTTGGATTTTGAGTTCTTTTTGGCTATAAAGCGATGTATAAATTTCTAGTTATTATTATTATTATTATTTTGTTTGTTCAGGTGTCAAAAATAATTAAAATTCTGTTTTAAAACTAATAATCAAAATATATTATTCAATAAATCCAAAATTTCTGAAACCCTCGGCCTCCACATGCAATCTCACAATGTTTCATTCAGTTTAATTATCATTAAATCCAAGTTTCAAAAGAAGTTTGATCCGAATGTTTTTCCAGGTTAGTAGGTCACTAAATATTTATCCCCCTGAAAACTCTGATGGTTACACGTTTCCTCTGCTCATTCCAAAGTACAACATGCTAACCGTGATCCTGCATTACCAGTCTTTCGGCTCCCTGTAATCAGTGATATTTAAATATCTCACAAAAATAATAAAACTGTAGTCAGTACAGAACAAATTTCAACAAAAATATTTATAAAATTCTCTGAACTGTGTCCTAAGAATTGTGAACAATTGATCCATTACCTTCGTCCCCACCAAGACCCAAGTCATCTGTACCCGCGTGAAGGACTACAGCTCGTCCCCTGATAGAATTTTCTCCGTCCAGAGCAAACCTATCTTCTTCTACGTAGTTATATCCGGCCTCTTGTGAATTGAAGATATTTAGACCTTGAAGTTGAAGTATCTTTCGTAATTTACTAATGATTTTCGAATAAAGTCAGACCAGAATAACTAGAAAAATAATGTAAAAACTCCAAATTTTCACTTACGATCAATTCCCGGACCCACTGTATAATCAATTTTCTCTAGAACAAAACCTGAAAAAAGAGTATTGGTTTAAGTTTGTTATCTTATCAAATCACTCAAGAACACTATCATTTGGGAATTGAGAACGACTTGTAATCCGTCGGATTATAAAGATTGCACCATGTTATCCCAACTTACCATCCCTTGCGAGCACATTCCCGAAGTCTCCAACATGATGAGAAGCTGCTGGACCACCCGCTGCTCCGTGATCTACTCCGTCAGGGTTGAAGTGGCCTCCAGTTGTCAAACAATCATTGCCACCTTCTGCGACAGGTAGCGCATGGACATGGAATCCATGTTTTCCGTTAGCTATTTTTGGGTGCAAAAAAGCCAGTCTTACTCTCTGTTTCTCTCCCGGTGTAGATGAGAACCAGACTCTTCCTAAAGATGGAAACCATTATGGGAGCAAAGATGCTGTTTTTTAATTCAGAAAAATCCGGTTTACGAGATTAAAAAATGTTCAAATGATTAAAAAGAAAAAGTACCAATATCAATCCCATCGACATCGTTATGAAGCTTCATCAGACACGATGCAGTCTGATCATAAGTCTGCTCTGTTAGCACAAATAAGGCTGCACATACCACAAGGAGTAACATCTTGCTGCAAACAAATGGAAAATATAAACTCACTTCAAATCTACATAAATGAAAGGCTTTTAAACATCGGGACGCGATTTGTTCAGAGTGGAAGCTGCACGGAACTTACAGTAACAGTTCCTTGCTTAACTCTTTAGAAGAGAGAAATTCACTTCTTAATTTCGGCGAGGAAAATATTCTATTCAACAACAAAGTGTTAAATGCTCTAATTAATACTAGAATATACCTGAATATTTTCTCGAGACTTGGAAAAGAGCTTTTTACCGATCATTGACATTAATTATTTATGTTAGTTATAAAAACTAGTATAATTTTATTTTCAGAGATAGTAATGGATACAACAATGAATACGATAGTATCCAACCGAGAACAAGAACAGCCTGATAACATCCGACCCAATCTTAACACCACCCCAATCAAAGACATTTCACCCATCAGGTTTATTATTATTATCACAAATCGTATTTGTTTACTTCTCAAAGCAATCAACTTAGAAAACATGACACCAGCAAATCTCAAAGATCGCCTTTTTCAAACATTGTTAGCGTTCAAAGGCATGTCCTAATCCTCGAAATAATCCCAGAAAGTTACCATTCGACGACACACACGCGGAGATGATAGAAGAAGCGGACACCTCCGCTACAGAACCAAACATAGTCGCTCTAAAAACAGAGAAATCTTCGCCAGCAAGGGAAGAAAAGTTAGCAGACACAACTATAACTGTAAGTGATAAGTTAGCTTTGTAATTGTAAGAATTAAACGCATGATTTAAATAGTTAGCCACACCTGTCATGAACTGTCACAGTGTTACACAATGTTGGGTTAAATAATTACGATAAATTTGCTATTATCTAAGCTTGTTATTATATTATGTGGTTGAGACTTGAGAGATGAGACTGGCACGACTAAAACGAAAGTGCGGAGCAATGTTGTTTTGGCCGTGCTGTTTTAAAAATGAGTGCGCCAGCTGGAGCATGAAATTGAACACCTAGAGATAAAGACCCAGTCCAAAGAGAACAATCAAGACTCAATTTAAATAAAACTTAACTCAATTTGACTTTCTTTACAATTTAAGAACATTGTACGACTAAATTTGACTTCAAGAAAGTTGAATAAATATCAGCTGTTCTGTACATTTGAACAAGCATTCAATATACTAATAAAATAATTCATAACGCTAGTTAGTAGCTATTAGCGATATACGTTCAATAGTTACTATACTGGTGAGCTACGACTGGGCTACGACTCTAATAATAAATAATTAAAAAAAACACATCAAATCATCAATGATAATATCGAACGTTTGTGTAAAACTGAAGCAAACATTGAGAAGCAAAACAAGTTCGTTAACTAGGTATATAAGCGTATAGTCCCATAATACTGTGTATACATTTAGTACAAAAGGCCTCATTATAGAGCTGTAGCTGTACGTGACCATATAAGGAGCTGTACGTGACCATATAAGGAGCTGTACGTGACCATATAAGGAATAGTACTACACTTTCCTACAACTTCCTGAAACTAACCTCTCGTTATGATATTTCACGACAGTTGGTCGTTAGTCTCCAGTGTGAACCGTTTAGAGGCACAAACTGACTGGCCCTGCAGTCTAGTCTGCACCACGAGGTTATGCCTTTTAAAAAACTCAGTCATAGAAATGGATTAAAAAGGGGGCCTTTAGAAAGCCGCCTTCTAGTTGTAGAGCTGTTCAAATCCAGTGGTAATTGTAAAGAACAACAAGGTTTGTGGACTCAATATTTCAAGCTTACCGGCTAGGCTCTAGTCAAAATCAAAGAATTTAAATTATGAGCAAGTAACTGGAATTGTTTTGGTCGCTATAGAATGTCTTCAAAGTTGATACAAAAGTTCACGAGCCTTACTGTCCACACATAAACAAACTTATTTGCAAAGTAGTGAAAGCTTGATAACAACTTACCTATATACCCAACATAAGAGCTTATTGTTACTACTACCAGCTATATGTTAGTTGTTTCTAGTATTAGAGATCAAATGACCAGCTGGGGGGGGGGGGGGGGGGGGGGGGGGGGGGGGGGGGGGGCCAATGACTACTTTTGGGGACTTGGGGAATTACGTCAACGATTTTACCCCGAGTCCCCATGATTTTTAGTCCCCATTAGTCCCCAAAAATCTCCATTAGTCCCCATTTAGATTTCAAAAAATCTGGCTTCTCCAGACCAGATCGTAAACTTCTCGAGACTGAAGTCTAGAATATTTATAAATGGTCACTGGACATTCCTGACTTCTTGGGAGCTACTTTAGGGCTGTTAGAGTACCTCAGGTAAATTAAGGGAGGGGGCGGGGGCGACTACCAATGACAACATTGAGGAGAAATATTGCATATATACGCTTATTTTATCAGATTGATCTAGTAGCATCGTGCAAGGAGGAGTAACTGTAAGATTCTAATCGATAATCATTTTCCCCGATAATGTCCATGCTGATGGGTCAAAAGATGGGGGGGGGGGGGGGGGGGGGGGGGGGGGGGGTCCAACTACAAAAATACGAACGCACCCCTAAAATTTCAAATTCGTATTCGTATTTTTTCGTATTTTTTACAAATCGTCATTTTGATAAAGGGCACTTTCAAAAACTATGTTAACGAATCTGTCACGGGAAAAATTTCAACTTCTAGAAGCTCTCATTTGGTGGATAAACTCAATATTTTGATTAAACTTTTTTTCAGCATAGGATTTGCGATAGTTCAACTTTTACAAAAAGAATTAAATGTCTACTATGTCTATGAGCAGAGATACACGCATTTAAATCAGGGCTAATAATGGTGGATATACTTTTCAGATGGGTTTGGTGGATATATCATTTGTTGGCCTGTAACTTTACGTGTGGTTAATTTATGGTGATTATTTAAAGATAGAATTGTAGCAAATCGATATGCCTCTATGATAAAAGGCGAAAATAAAGAAAGATTTCAATTTTAAGGCTAGATATGGTGGATAATAAAACGATGAAATAAAATTCAATACCGAAAATTTTCAACTGAAAAAATTATATTGGTCAACAAGTTCACCAGCTTTACTCAGTGAACGGATCAGGTTGGAAATCGTTTCAAGTTTATGATAGCATAGAAGATTTAATTTTTAGGCCATTTTTGGTGGATATATTGGAGCTTCAAGATTGATTGGTTCGATGGTGAATATAAAGCACTTAGAAGCCAAAGAAGAAAAGCCGAGACAAAGTGGAAAATCTCCGGATCTTTAACTGACAAGAAACACTATGAATCAATCAGAGAGCAGTGCACAGAACTCTCAGACAGGAAGAAACATGAGTTTTTCAAAGTCGAATTCATAAAGCATTCCTATTCTTCTAAGAGTCTTTTTAGATTTGTGGACACCTTTCTTGATCGGGATAAAAGCATTGTGTTGCCTTCGTCGGAGTCTCTCAAGGACACAGTCGAAAACTTTAACGTATATTTTCAGGAGAAAATAAAGGCAATACGGAATAACTTTGATCATGTGGAGTCTGACGATCAAACGCCCTCTTACTGCGGAGAAAAACTAGCTGAGTTCTCTCCAACTACTCTGGAAGAACTAGAGGAGATAATCAAGGCATCTGAGATCAAGTCTTCTTCAATTGACCCTCTACCTGCAAACATCTTTAAAGAAAACCTTGAGGTTCTACTACCCGTCTTAGTTGACATAGTAAATGCTTCATTATCTTCTGGCAGTATTGATGGCGCTAAACTAGCTCATATCACACCCCTGATCAAGGGCCAGGGATTAGATAGAGATAATCTCAAGAATTACAGACCAATATCTAACCTTAGTTTTGTGGGCAAGTTGATAGAAAGAGTAGTGCTCAGGCGTCTAAATGAACATCTAGAAAACAACAACCTGAACATCCCACAGCAGTCTGGATACAAATCAAAACACAGCACCGAGAGTCTGCTTGTGAGAGTTGTTAACGATCTACTCATTGCATCTACAGAAAGCAAGGCAACTGTTGTTCTTCTCCTAGATCTCAGCGCAGCTTTTGATACAGTTGACCACTGCAAACTACTGAACATCCTCAGAAATGAGTTGGGAATAACAGGGACAGCTTGGAAATGGGTTCAGCAGCTTCCTCACAGGTAGATGTCAAACGATTAAAGTTGGGAAATGAGGAAACTTATGAGATAGTGATTAAGTTTGGAGTCCCACAGGGCTCTGTGCTGGGGTCCGTCCTGTCAACATCTACATTCGCTCTTTGTACTCAGCAGCACATGATTTGAACTTCTCCATCCAGGGTGACGCGACGATCATCAGCTGTATAAAAGTTTCAAGCCAAACGAGGAGCCCACCGTCCTTATCAACGATGTTCCCAAATGTTTCCAAGAAATTAATGACTGGATGAAAAAACATTATCTACAGCTCAATGCAGGAAAAACTGAGATTCTTGTCTTTGGGGACACCGCTTGTTCTCCAGCAGCTGTCTATAGGGGGCGTGTTTGTTAACTCTGAGACGTGTGTCAGGCTGTCACCTGTTGCAAAGAACCTCGGATTTCGTCTCGACTCTCAACTAAACTTTGGTGAGCAAATCAAGCAACTTAAACATCGTGTTTTCTGAAACTAAGAGACCTTGCTAAGATGAAAACATTCCTCACAACCAAACAGATGGGAACACTGACTCAAGCAATTGTAATCTCATCGCTTGACTACTGCAATGCACTTTACTATGGTTGTAGTCAAGCCTCAATTACGCAGCTGCAGAACATTCAGAACCGAGCATGCCGTCTGGTTTTTGGATTAAAGAAGAGAGACTCAGTCGAGGAGAAGCTCAAATCCCTTCATTGGCTCAAGGTGAAGGAGAGGATTGAGTTTAAGTTATGCTTACTGATTTTCAAAGCAGTCAATGGTGTTGCTCCTGCATATCTGTGTGATCTAGTAACATTTGTTAGTTCGAGTAGCAGAAGAACTTCCTCCTTACACCTACCCGTCGGATCTACAAGATCACACCCAAGAGCGTTTCAGACTGTTGCTCCGAAAATCTGGAACCAACTACCAATTGAAATTAAGACTTGTTCCGATGTTGATCTGTTCAAACATTATTAAAAACTCACCTGTTTAAGAAAAGTTATGGCATGAGCGATTAATTGACAATATAATACTTTATGTTATTTGCTTAAACTGTTTAGGATGCAACCTAATGTCATGATCTTTTTGAACTTATTAGCAATTAGACTGTTAGCTCGCTTCACAAGCATGTCATCTTCGTTCCAAAACTTTTTATGTCCTATGCATACACTCCTTGATAGTTATCTTGATCTAGTATCTTTGTTTCACACAATAGAGCATAAGTTTTGTGGTTTATCCACTGGGCTTAGAGTTTGTGTTTAAGCTACCAAATTTTATTATTATTATTTATTTAATTTTAAGTCAATTTCTGAGTCAATAATGCAGGTTATCCATTGTTAGACCCCAATTATCTCGTTTAGAAGCTGAAAATGTATACAATTATTGCTCTAGGGCCATAATGAATGGATATTATATAGTTTCATACGAACTTAACAAACTGTTTCCTTTCAGCCTTTAGAGCTGTTTTTGGTGGATAAAAGTACTAAAACGGGAAAATTTGCTTTTGTATCCACTATTTTTGGCCCTAGATGTGTTCTATCATGAAACTACAACTGTTTCTAGATAGAAAATCCCCTTTGCTGAGTCAGTTCAAAAGAATTTTCAGTCCAAGACGACTTTTAAGGTTAAAATTG